TTTTGAAATGGGCATTATAATGCCTGCTTCACCGAAGGGGGACTGTGAGAACTGGTTGGACTGTGAGAATTAAATGTGTATAGCCTCCCCAACCCAGGCCTGACACATTAGTAGCAGCTCAGTAACAGCCAGTTTCCCTTCAGCCAACCAAGAGTCAGGATTTAGCAGAACAGAAATGTTGAAAGAAAGATCAGCTTAATATCATTTATTTATCAAGGGATGAAAGGCGAGCCAAAAAAAAAAAAAATCTTTATCTTGAGATTCAGGCTATGGAGTAGACCGTCTAGAATTTGCTAGAAATCAATCAAGACATGAGAAGTCCTACTGGGTATCTCCAGGAGGCGTGGGTATCATAACAGGCACTAAACAGATGGTCAGTTTCTAGAAAGGCTCAGTGAAGTGTTGAACCGTTCTGAGAAGGCCACTTCAAAGAATACATAGATACTAACCATCAATGGCTAAAGCTCACCCAGCTGGATGCTTCCTTCTGATTCCACCAGATGCAACCATACACCCTCTAAAGAAAAGAAAGTGTGAGCTCTGCATTTGAGGTAGGGGGAGGGGACAGGAAGGCAGGAGGAATGAACAGAGTCTGAAAATCAGAATTGTTCAAAGCCAGCACTAAGAAAAAGCACAGGTGAACACCAAAGGGTACCTTTGGGTGCACTCTGCCTGGCATTTCCTGTAAAGGCGATCCAAAGGATTTATGAAGGTGAGTGGGAACTGGGTTCAGGGACTGGGACGACAAAGGGAGCCCTAATTTAAACTGTAATTCTGCAGTGTGCACACTTTGAGCGCTTAATACATTTTGGTGTGTGGTAAGAGTTGTTTGCTATATTTTGGAAGGAAGCTTTATTGCAGAAAGGTCTTAAAAAAAAAAAAAAGGGTGCCTAGGTGGCTCAGTTGGTTAAGCGACTGCCTTCGGCTCAGGTCATGATCCTGGAGTCCCGGGATCGAGTCCCACATCGGGCTCCCTGCTCGGCGGGGAGTCTGCTTCTCCCTCTGACCCTCCCCCCTCTCATGTGCTTTCTCTCATTCTCTCTCTCTCAAATAAATAAATAAAATCTTTAAAACAAACAAACAAACAAAAAAAAACAAAAACAAAAAAAAACATTAAATCCCCACTGCAGTAATAGAATTGGGGTAGTGAATGTTGGAGAAGCCTTTTCTTCCTACATACAAAGAAGCACTGAAGTATAATAATCTCTCGGTATGTGAGGATACGACATGGATGTTATGTTGCATGTGGGGTAAGGGTTAAGTGCACAGATTCTGGAATGAGCTAGCACTGATAACAAATTCTGCCTCTGCCATTTATTAGCTGTTTAACCTTGGGTAATTTACTTAACCTCTCTAATCTTCAATTTCCCCATCCCTTAAAGGGGGGATGATAGAAACTACTTTTTAGGTTGTTGTGTGGATTAATGAGATAGAGTATATGAATCACATAGCACGGTGCTTAGCATGTAGAAAATACCCTTATTATAATAGAGTATAATATTGCATGGTGTAGATTACAATTATTCTAGCCCATGGCTGGTTAGCTTGCCTGTTAGGACTGGCAGTTGAGATTGTGGGTTTGACCCCAGTGTTGGCTTTGCCTTTGTCTGTGGCCCCAGACTGCCTTCATCTGTCTTTGGTCACAGAGGAGACAAATATTTACAACTGTGAAGGGACTAGGGCAAATCCATCACGACTACAGGAAAAATCAACCCAAAGCTTGCAGGTCTGTAATGTCACCTACATCAACGGAGGGTGGTGTTTTCCCATTAGGTGTGGAAAGCCGCCGCCTGGTTACTTAGACCAGGTGGGAGAGCCCCACAGACGGCTCCTACCTGGAATTAGACAGACTGACATGTCACACGTAAGGTCTCAGCTCCATGTGTTGGATATATACTTGGCTGTTTTGTTTTAACTTATTTATTATCAATCTCTAGTCCCAAACTAATTTGTTTCAACTCCGCAATTGATGAGATGACATGGAGTACACCCTTACCCCGGAAATTTTTTGCGTCTCAATGGTTATAAATACCTCGGTGCTATTGTATTTGTCGTGCTGTATGCAAATGGAGGTAGGAGTCCGAAAGCTCATTAGGCGAGGGACAGAGGCTTGGGGCTTGGAGAGGACCGTGTGGAGCTGAAGCTGATAACAGTGGCCTTGTCCAGAATAGTGCCTGGGAGCTTTCTTATCTCCCTTTGGCAGGAGGTGCTGTGGGCTTCCTGTGCGAAATCAGGAGTGAACGCTGCTTTCCTCTTGTTGTTCGGCTTCCTCCCCCCTCAAGACGGTTCCCAGCACAGTGATTATCTTTGCATCTTCAAACATGGCACAATCTACTTCCTTAAGAGCTTGATGTATTCTTAAGGCTTAGGCAAATTCCCCTCCCCCTAAATCTCTTTTCAAGTGCTGTTATATAGTCAGGCTCCTAAATGACATTCTATTTTTATGGTTCCAATTACAAAGAGGGAAAAAGAAAAAAACAAAAAACAAAAAACCAGTCCCCAAATTAGAAAATGGCCACAAAATCTGTCCTTTGCACTGGGAGGACCTTGCCGTGAGTCTAGCCTATAGTTTCCATAGGGCTTGTGCTGCCAGCAGCCGCCTCTGGGGGCAGGGGTAGGGGTCAGAGGTTGACAGCCCCGCGTGAACTTGGGCAGCAGACTGCACTTCCCTTGGGAAATGCCTAGACTCGCTGTACTCGAACATATTTCTTTGCCTTTCCTGAAGATCAAGAGTATGCAATTAAGATCTCTGTCTGAGGCATCCGTTTATCTTTTTCACTTCTTTGGGGAGAAAAGAATGAAATTAAAAGCTTCTTTTCCAGATACAAGAGAATATCAGCTGTTTGACGGCACAATGCCAAGTACACACGCACGTGTCCAATACAGGTGTGCACGTGTGTAATAAACCCCATCTACATGTAAGGCATACGTGCGTTGGCTGTACTCATATGTGTCCTGAGCGTGTGTGAAGGACCTGAGGTCAAAAGGCGGTTCAGGGCATGGCTGTAACAGTGCAGAGAACAGACAACGAAAAATTGCAGAATGACAGGATTTCAAAACTATAGCATTACAGGGTTTCAAGTAAAGGAGAAAGTATATAATTTCTCTTGGGTTCATTTTCCTCTACTAATCAGTAACAGTTAAAACATTCACTTATTTTACCCGATGACTATAAAGAATATCTAGTAGAAATTGCATAAATTCCTTAAGGAATGGCCTGTCCTTATTATTCTTTCTTATTTAAAATCTTATCATCTAACTGTAAAAGAGAGACATTTTGCCAACATTTGGGGAAATCTGGTATATGGAGTGGGTACAGTTAGGTGTAATAATGGCCTTGTTGTTATCTTAGAAAATGTGCATTCTTTTAGGAATATGCACTGAAGTATGTAGGGCTGAAATGACACCTGAGATTTGCTTTAAAATACTTCACAAAAGAGAAAGATGGAAAGAAATAAGGATAGACAAAACAACTGTGGCAAAATCTGGATCACTGTTAAATCTGGGTGATGGGCATTACACTAGGGCTGTGATTACCAGCCCTGTGATTTCAAACTGTGATGTTTGAAAATAATGAACAATGAAAACAAATGAAAGCTCTTGCTAGAAACAGCGTATCAATCCCCCATGCCTGTGTGTATATTAACAGGTGTTCATAGCATGCCAATGACACGCTCGGCCCTTGCTGTGATGTGAGGACAGAGTGTACAGTAGATGTGGTCCCCTGGAGCTGCTGGTCCAGTGGGGCCACTTAGAACATGGGGAAAGCTCTGGGGGCAGACATGACAGGGCAGGAGAGGACACCACCCAGGAAGACTCAGTGGTTTAACAGTCTGGAGTCCCTTCTAGCTCAAGGACCATCGAGGGATAATCACAGGACATTTTCCTGGTCTTCACAATCCCATCTATCCTACCTTCTTCCTCAGCTTATTTTATTCTCTCCCTGTCATCTGATGTAAATGATGGCCGCCTTGGCTACCTAAGATCAACCACTCATTCTCTCTGGAAATTGGGCTGTGAAATTCCTCCTGGCTTGAAAATCCCCATAATCTGCCCATGACAAGTACAAATTAGAGCCCTGTAGGTTCTCTGCTCACCACAAATTCTAGGTAGGGAATGGACTATGAATGGCCTTGACTGTTGGACAAGGAAGCTGGGCTTTCTTCAGTATAGTCATTGGAGCTTTGGAAGCAAAAAGGATTCCACTAAAAACCAGAACATTCAGGAGTCTGGGAGCAGTTTTGTGAGTGTTGAGATTAATAACTATTTCCACCAAAATCTGAGTAATAAGCCATATGAAAATAGAAGCTTGCTGATAAGAACGTGTATTGGAGAGAACATGCTAACTTCTCTCTTTAAAATGGTACTCTACTAGCTAGTTTCATATAATAAGAGATCTCATGGACTTTTAGAAACAGAAGAGATCATTTTATAATTAAACACTTTGAGGTCTGAGCAGTTAAAGAGCTTCTCATGATACTCCAAAACTTGGAAAGAAATAGAATTTAATAACTGCTTCATGCTGTGTGTTTCCATATACACTTAATAGCCCTGGAAAAAATTAGCTGTATAATGGAATATTCTGATTAAAACCAACCTTTTATAGATGTGAAATGCTATTATTTCCTTGAGGTTTCCATTCATTAACATAGCTTCTTTTTTTCCCCCTGTGTTTGCATGTTTCCTCCACTAGGAACTGATTAAAATCTAGATATTAAATTTCCTAATTTTTGCATTTTTACTTAGTATTTAATATTTAGAACAGGAAGGATGTATGGAGATATACTGGTGTGGGTTGCTTTCAGAGCAAGCAAAATATATTTTCTATTTTTAAGTTGTGGGGATGAATATGGGGGGAAAAATCTAAGGAAAAGAGGAAAATGTGTTTTGTTATCTTTGTTATCTCAGGACTTAACCAGTGATTTTTATTTCACCTGTCACCATGGGCTGGACCATGCTACAAAGCAATATAGTGATGACTTGCTTTTTTTAAAAAATAGGTATGACTTTTGCTCCAATAATGAAGAGTCCCTAATCCTGGATCCCGACAGCAACATAGGAAACAGGATTGAGAGCATCACTCAGCGCACGGCAATAATAGAAGGAAAGAATAAGGTATTGTCTGCAAAAATAAGCATTGGCATATTTATTTTATTTTATTTTCAAGATTTTATTTATTTGAGAGTGAGCGAGAGCACAAGTAGGGGGAGGGGCAAAGAGAGAAGGAGAGAGAGAGAAGCAGACTTGATCCCAGGACCCCAAGACCATGACCTGAGCCAAAGTCAGATGCTTAGCCAACTGAGCCACCCAGGTGCCCCTGGGATATTTATTTTAAAGACACACACTTGGCTTCCAGTTCTGGGTTTACTAGAACCAGAAGTAATTCAAATGCTCACAACAAAAGTTCAGAGAGAAGACAAGATCAGAGATATATCTTCGTGGAGAGATACCCTGAGACTGCTTAAACTCTGTTCTCCAGTGGCCCACCAGTTCCAAAGGCATGAGTACTAGATCCTAATGCAAGAGGCGGAGCGGCCTCTCACATACCAACGGCTTTCAACCCTGGCTGAATATCAGAATACTCCACCAATTATTCTTACATTTGAATCTCTGGAGTAGAGCCTGGGGTTCATAAAAGTTCCCTGGGAGATTCTAGCACATACCTAGGACTGAGTATCTCTGACATACATAAAATAGGTAGTCAATAAGCAAAAGCTAGTACAAGACTTAGGTCTAAAATGGAATATTGCCATCTCACAAAATAGATTGTTTTCCCTCTGTCTTCACAAAGGCAAAGCCTAAGTCAGGGTATGCAAACACATTAGAGTATATCAGGACTCCCTGACCTAAGAAATACAAATCAGAAGCACAAGGAGCTATTGCCTGACACCTGTTAGAATGGCCATTATCAAAAAGACAAGAAATAATGAGTATGGGTGAGGATGTGGAGAAAAGGGAATCTTTGTGCACTATTGGTGGGTTGTAAATTTATACAGCTATTATGAAAAACATGGAGGTTTTTGGAGGTTTCACAAAAAACTAAAAATAGAACCACCCTATAATCTAGCAATTCCACTTCTGGGTGGAAAACAAAGAAAGAAAAAAACAAAAACACTCAAAAATATCTGCACCCTCCTGTTCATAGCAGTACTATTTATAATAACCAAGATATGGAAGCAACTTGAGTGCCCATGGAGTGAATGAATGAATGAAGAATGTATGGTATGCATATACACAATGGAATATGACTCAGCCACAAGAAAGAATGAAATCTTGCCATTTGTGACATGGATGGACTTTGAGGGCACTAAGCTAAGAGTAAGAAGTCAGGCAAAGAAAAGACAAATACCGTATGATCTCATTTATATGTGGAATCTAAAAGAAACCAAACCCCAAGCTTATAGATTACAGAGCACAGAATGGTGGTTGCCAGAGGCAGGGGTAAGGGTTGTGAAGAATAAGTGAAGGGGGTCAAAAGGCATGAAGTTGCAGTTATAACTAAGTCCTGGGGATTATTGTACAACATGGTGAATATAGTTAATCATACTGAATTGCATATTTGAAAGTTTGCTAAGAGAATGGATCTTAGTACTTCTCATCACAAGACAAAAAATTTGCTTAACTATGTATGATGACAGATGTTAAGTGTACTTACGGTGATCGTGTTGCAATATATACAAATACTGAATCATTTATGCTTTCTTACATTTGAAACTAATACAGTGTTATGTATCAATTATACCTCAATTAAAAAAAAAAAAAAAAGACTTCTAACCAAAAAAAACCACACAGTTCCCTGACCTAATGAGCATCGAGCACACATCTTTGCTGGTACGCTTTTTGGTATTAAAAAATTTTTATTGAGGTGTGATTGACACACAAAAAGCTGTACAAATTTAATGTGTACAGTTTAATGAGGACTTTGGAGATAAATATACACCCACGAAACCATCAATACAGTCAAAGCTACAAACTTATCCATCGCCTCCAAAAGTTTCCTCCCACTGAATGTAGGACCGTGTGAATGAATCAATGAATTAATGATAACACATAGCAAATGTATACAACGCAGCATTGTTCAGTGCAAGTAACTACGCTGAACAGTGGATCTCTAGGACTTACTCATCTAGCATCACTGAAACTTTGTACCCTTTGACCAATTTTGGAAGATTCAACTTCTCTAAAAGAGATGCCAAGAACAGCAAAGGCTCTTGAGATTGTACCCGATTTTCAGGCTAACAGGTAGGCCTGTCCCAGTTTTATGTTTTGTGGTTGAAGACCTGCTACTTGCGGGTCAGATACAAGGACTTTATTACTCACAGCAAATCTCGCGGGCTTCTTGTTAGCACTGGTCCTCTTGCCCCCTAGTGCCTGGGTAGAAACTGTGCAGGCAGTGGATTGGCAGAGCAGCTGAGGGACCCTGAACTTTGGGAACCCGTATTTTTTAGAGTGGGTGGCCTTTGCTGTCCCCTCCTGCATACCATTCCTTCGCCGTTCCCCTGGGCTCCGCTGAACCTCAGCAATAGCAGATACCTTATGAACTGGGCACATCTCATGGACCTCGGACTTTTCTTTGGTTGAATTCAGGAAAAATACACTTTAAAATCGGCTCTTACCAGGCCCAGGGGTAGTGATGCTTTAAAAGTAAAAAGCTCCCAACCCCTTGCCAAAATGTCTATTTATACATGCATATCTTGACTCAGAGTGGCTTGTTAGTATGGGTCTGTCTGCTTGAGTGTGGTTATGCGTGTGTTATCTGTGTATTCAGCTGTATTTTTTGCATTTGAAGGCAACAAAGTAGATAGCATCATTCCCCCCACTCCCCATGTAGGATTGAACAGTGACGACAAATAACATCTGATTTCCGCGTTCTGTAAAACTTTTTGACATACGCTCGTATCAACAACATTCTGGCCAGCCGGAGTGGTTATCTACTTTTTAAAGATAAAAACAGGGGTGGTGAGATGAACTCAAAGCCACACAGCTTAAATGTGGCAGACGAGGAACTCAAAGCTAAGTCTTCCTAGTCCAAAAGCCACGGCTCTTCCAACGGGGTACAGAAATTAAAATGGTGATGACTTCCATGAAAATATGAACAATCACTTGTCAAGGATTTAAGAAAAGTTTTTCTGACTACAGTCGTGGTTTACAATTCTTTTTTTTTTTTAAGATTTTATTTATTTATTTGACAGAGAGAGACACAGCGAGAGAGGGAACACAAGCAGGGGGAGTGGGAGAGGGAGAAGCAGGCTTCCCGCAGAGCAGGGAGCCCAATGCAGGGCTCGATCCCAGGACCCTGGGACCATGACCTGAGCCGAAGGCAGACACTTAATGACTGAGCCACCCAGGCGCCCGTGGTTTACAATTCTTTTTCTCTAATACAAATGAACAGTAGTTTGAAACGTCCCATGATGGATAACCATGGATGAGAGCAGTTCAATGAAATCCTTAGAAAAGAGGAAATTCTATGAACTTGAAAGTTTAATTTGGGTGACAGTACGTCTTTTCAAAGAAAGGAAATGCCTCACAGTAGAAGGCAAGTTAGTTGTCACAGAATATACTAGAAAACTTCAAGATGCCACTGAATGTGTTAATTCATTTTGCCTTCTCCTGATCATATCAGGGAGATGGACTGTTAACTGCTGGATATTAAAAAAAACATTTATGAGCCTAATTCCAATGGTAAGTTTTAATTCTATTCTGGCATCCTAGCCACAAAAAATACGATAGAAAAGAAAGTGGAAAATGAAAAAGCCAGGCGAGGTTTCGGATTAGCCTGAACCTATTATATTCGGATTATATAAAGTAGCAACCTGACTCCATACAGAATTACCTGGAAAGCACAGAGGGAGTGAAGTCACAAAACCCAAGTGAGATAAGGAACTTCCTTGATGTTTTTCTACACGGCTTGAAACAAGTTTATTGTCTTGTAATTTTGTAGTTATGCAGGTTTTAAATATAGATCTCCAGACACAGTGGGCATGTATGTTGACCAACCTGCAGCCAGGAGCCCTGGGGTCAAGCTCTGCGACTTCCTATCTTGTATAACCACACGCAGATCCGTCCCTCTGTCTGAACCTGCTCCCTCCTCCAAAAGATGGAGCTAATAATACTTGTCCTCCCTCATTTGCCCGTTCTTATAAACATGATTGTCATGTATGCCCTAATGCAGTTCCCAAGTTGATTGTGATCGTATACAATGAAGACTGTTTGTTCAATAATTGTCTGCATTGAAAAACTTTTAATACTTTTAACAAAGTTGTTATCTATGTATATCATGTATCTGTGGCATATCCTCTTAGAAGCTGTAACAGTAATAGATTCTCATTCTTCATTTCAAGGCCTAAATTTAGAAGCATTTACTACTTTTACAATTTGGGCATCTATTAGTTTATCTCTGTGTATGTAGGAAAAAAATTTATGATGATGACCGATGGGAGTTTTGCTATTTCAGAATTATTTGCGCTGGCCTTTCCTTTACGATTAAAACTGCTTTTCTTTTCTGTCCATTTTTAGGAAGTATATTAAAGTCCCAGCTTAGACTCTAATGACCGTTTTAACTACAGTCACATAGCCCACACAGTGACACCCCCCACAGATCAGGGGAATAGAGGTCCCACTGGAGCCCCCGTTAGATTCTAGGGATTTCCTTTTTTTTTTCTTTGTTTTTTTGTTTGTTTGTTTGTTTAACTCAGAAGGGTGCAGAGAACAATAAAATTTAGTTTCCTCATTGGCAAGTTTTGGCCTAGATCTGTGAAAAATGAGTCATCAATTGGAGTTGCTAATAGCAAATGCGGAGTTTTAGTATTCTTTAATGGAGTTGCCAGACTCTTGGGTTTGTAGCTACGGAGTAGGAAGTAAGTAGAGGGAACCCGGTGTTAGAAAAAACACTCAGGAAATACATATTACAGCATTCATTCTGTGAGGCTGGAGAATTGTGACAATTTTAATGTTTTAGCAGTGTTTCCATTGAAACCGTTTGGAGGTTACCTTGAGGAGGGTTACCATTACAAGACTGATCCATGACAGTGACCTTAAAACTAATGACAGAATTACAGTTTGTGTCTCATTTCCCACACTCCTCAAGTTTTTCGAATTCTCACGTTCTGTTTTCCCATCACTTGGCTCAAATGTGCCACCTGAGGTTAATTTTAGATTCTTCCATGACCTTTATATATCTACTTTTATGTCTCCCTGACACACTTGAAAGGAAACGATATTAGAAACATCCCGAGATTAAGATCACGGGTCCATATTTAGACCTTTTAAAACTAGTTCTGGAAATTAGGCTGAATTACACATCATCCCATCAAAATATTCTCACCCATGAGGTTGCAACCTCATTGTGGTAGGGAATTACTAATGTGTAGGGAAAGGGAAGGAAGGGGTATGAATAACTTCCCAACTTACAGTACCTGATGACAGATTTCATCAGCATTCTTGGGTCATACAAAAGAACCCAGAAAATGACTTTAAGGCTCTATTTCTAATATCTAAATCCTTGAGGTCCTGGCAGGGCAAGTCAAGGCACCCCCAAAGTGTATGTTCAGAGCAAAAAACAATTATGGCAAATGAAAACTATAGAATGAAGACAAGCAGACATCCTTGAGAATTTCTTTTGGTGCACCTTCTAAATGATAATTTCAAACACATGTAACTACTCAAATTCTTGGCACTTCCTCTTTTAAAGTATTAAGTTAATATTTGGTGTTCCCACTGTTAGGCTATTTTCATCTTTTCCCCCTTTGAAACAATAGTATTTGGTTACGAGCACTGGGGAATGGATTTGTCCCTTTTACTCAGAAGACTTCTGCGTTTAGACTTGCTGTCCTAAGGGAAGTTGTCTCTTGTGCAGAAAAACCACACTCACCCACAACTCACAGTTGAGCTCCTTTTTCTGACCCTATAATGTTTATACTTCAATTATCAAATAAATATCTTTTGTTTGTCATGAAAACATGTTTTAGTTTCTAAGTTAAAAAATATATTCTCTGGAAAAAAGTGCTCTAGAAATCAGATAATTTTTAATAAAGTTGATCATAGGATATTAATTTCATCTTATTTTTACATTTCCTTCTTTAACTATAACTTTTTCATTCATCGGTCATATTCTCAAACCTTGTAACAATGTATCAGTTGAAAAATAGCTTGCAGCTTATGTGAAATAATAAGAGAGAAACTAGTATTTCTGTACATAGTAGCATTTTAGCTTATGTGACCCATCTCTGCCAATTTAAGGATGTATTCTTAAGGAAGAACTCAATTCAAAGACTAGATGGAACTCTACCAATAGATCTGTGCCATTCAATCTAAAGAGTTTTAAGGCAAGAAGCAGTTTCATGTAGAGATCATGTAGAGTAATTCTACTATAGGGAGGAGGAAATTAAAGTCCCAGCTTAGAGTATAATGAGCCTTTTACCTACAGTCGCATAGTTAGCCTGCCCAGCAACAGGCTAGATACCGCCTCACGTGCCATCTGGCACACAGCAAGGGCTACATAAAGGCACCCAGAAACAAATAATGTAAACTCCCATCGATGTCATTTTCTCGTCCAATTTTAATAGCAACTTGGGAGAGGTGAGTTCTGGAGCAGGCTTGCCAAGGCTTGCCTTGGTTTGGGAAGGGGTCATTCAAGCAAAATAAGAGATTCAAATATTTGTATCTCCATGGCGCATCCTTTGGCCTGGATTCCTTTCAGTTCTAGGTATCTCAGTTTCATTCTCTGATTATACAAAAGTTCTGAGCTCTCCCGACAGTTTATTGGAATCATCCCCCGATTGCCTGCACAAATCTTAACTGTGGCAAATGTGCCACATCTGAATTTCCTTCCCCTTGCCACAGAGCCCAGTTCTGGTGCTCCCTTGCTTTGAGTCCAGTGAAATCAAAATAGTTTTAATAGAAACACAGACGCAACTTTCAGATTCAGGCAGTAGCTGTCCCTCATATCAAACATCCTCAGGACAAACAGAAATGAGTTTCTCACTTATTTACTGAGCAGCAAATCAAAGAATGTAGATAAGACTCTGCTGAGGCCCCTGAGGATAAACATTTGAGAGCTGACGTCATAAGAAAACCTGTGCTTGAGCTGGGGGGGGGGGGAGGGGGGGCTTTATTGGTGTCCCCTGGGTCTGAACTTGTTGCATACCGCTTCCAAGCATCTGAGCCCAAGTTTGCAGAGACCAAATAAAGAAGTCAGTGTCTGACTTGATGGTCTGAATTGTTCCAGCGGTCACGAGCTAACACTTCCTTTCACACTGCTACCTACAAGCTTCACTTCTAATTACTGCCATTTTCTTCCATGGCTCTTAAGTGGTGGGTGCAGTAATTAAAAGAAATATCCTGGCTAGAATTTCCTTGTATTTCCCACCTCTTCTAAAGATTATTAATTTGCATAGGGAAAGAGACACGTGAGTTCTTTTCATGATCTCCTCTACTGGCCATTTGCCTCCATGGGAGTGTTTCTCTGCAAAAGAGAGAATAATACGTATTTGATCTTCAAGCAGGGAAATTATCTGTCACTTTAAAGCAATCCTCCAAGGACTATTCAAGGTTAAGAATAGGGGTTGTGTCACATTCATCTCTGTTTCCCCTACAACATCTGCACCATACCTTGATAAACGCTCAATAAATGTCTGCTAAGTTGAATGAAAATTGCCACATATTGCAGACACTTTCATTTCCAGTAATTTCAATAATTCACAGAGGATATATGAGGAGATGTAATTAAACAGATCCAAGAAACAGAAGAGGAGACATCATGTAATATACACTATACTATAGTGAAAATTACAGAGAATCTGGAGCAATAAGCTTGCTGGCTGAAAAAACGAGGAGTGTATTTTTCAGTGTTCTTGATCTGTAGATTAAAGACAAATAATTTATTGGCTGGGATATGAGAACATAAGTAAAGTGCTTAATTAGACCATTACTTAGCAACTCAGAAGAATGCTGGGACCCTTTATAGAATCGGGGTTCATCATCTTAGAAAGCCGACTGTCACATTTCTACCTATATATTACATTAGCCTGTAAGTCACTTGACCTAATTCTACTTCAGCTAGGACACTCCATTCTGTCTGGAAGCATCAGCAAGCCTCTCTAATTTCAAAGCCAATGACCAGTCATTTGTGTTCTAGGAGATAAGCCGCAACAATTTATAAGTAACTGGATACACTCAAAAAAAAAAAAAAAATACTAGAAACTTAACTTCCTTTTTCATTTGTTCCATAGAAAGGATGCATTACAATTTTGCAAGGCTGGGTTAGATTTTAAAACTCTCAACAACTGGTTCCATTTTACTAATTTTTATCTTTAAAAGAAGACAGCAGAGTCTTTATGCTGTACAAATTTGTGTTTCATTACTCTGTGAGACATCACAGTTTAGAAAGCGCTTTCCACCTCACACAAATGTGACCACTAGTGTTTCTTCAAGGGTTCATGTGTCAAATAGCAGCACGAAAATTCCGTGAAACGATATTGTATTCACAGTTTATGTCTTCGTTTTCTAGATTGTGGGTTGGCAGACTGAGAAATTAAGTCATTTATAAACACACAGGACAGCCTTAGAGAGCTTTCCAGAGCTTCTGCACCTTGGGGGCTGCAGAGCTCCATTCTTTGAGTACATAAAAGAAATGGTTTGGCCAACCTTTCTCTTCTGTCCTTGCTCACTTAACACGCCCATTACAGAAGCAAACAGCAAAGAAACCTCCTGTTACCAAATGGCATCCATAGTCTCAGGTCATCCAAACAAAAGGGAAGGTCTCAGCCTCACCTGTTCCTCTCATTGACGTGGAACTGACCACCTCATAGAGTAGGACGTGCAGTCCCGCATCTCAGCTTCAGGTCTGTAATTGTTACGCCAGCAGCACGAGATAAATAAGCCTGAAACCCTCATACGAGTCGGATGTCATAGCCCCCGGTCTCCTGAGGACCTGCTTTCCTGTTATTTTTCCATTCTTGCTGGGGCTCCGCAAAGGGAGAGCCTTCTGGTAACCGCCGTGCGCGTAGTACTAGCCTTGTCGAATGAATGGAATAGCTGAATCACTTCAACCTTTAGAAGAATCTTAGGGATGTTCAAATAGCTCTTTGCTCTAGCTAAAGCTTCCTTTTCTTTTACAGACGGCTAGCACCTTGGTTGTGGCTGACTCTAGAATTTCTGGAATCTACAGTTGCATGGCTTCTAATAAAGTAGGATCTGTGGAAAGAAACATAAGCTTTTATATTACAGGTAAGCCGTATATCCTATACTCACAAAGATAGCCTGGTGACCTCGCTGTCCTTTCAATTCTGTTTGTTCTTAGTGCACTTTTGGCTTGAGGGATTTTTATTTTATTTTATTTTTTTAAGATTTTATTTATTTATTTGAGAGAGAGAGAGAGTACGAGAGGGAAGAGGGCAGAGGGAGAAGCAGACCCCCTGCTGAGCAGGGAGCCCGACGTGGGACTCGATCCCGGGACTCCAGGATCATGACCCGAGCCGAAGGCAGTCGCTTAACCAACTGAGCCACCCAGGCGCCCGGGATTTTTATTTTTAAAAACTTCCGTAGAATTGTTAAACTTTGAGCACCTTCATCCTTGCTCTCAGGAATAGGATTCTGCAACATCACTGGATCTCTGAACAAGTTCTTTCTCTGAGTTCCCTTTTAGAGCTATGTGTGTACATCTCCCTCCCAGGCTGGATCGTGAATTTAGGATCTTGTCATGTTCATTTTTGAACTCCTTTCAATACCTGGCACAGGGTCTGGTACATAGAAGTTGTTCAGTAACAATCAAGGACACCAAACCTATGATGATAGGTTTTTGTTTTTGAAGCCGAGAAGCTAGTTGTCTCACAACTTAAGTAATTTCTACTTTTGAGGAATGAGGCTCTCCTGTAGAAACCTGAAACTGAGTTTGTTGACAGTAATTAATGTGGTTTTTTGGTAGCATTTACACATTTTTCAGCCTTCAATATGATGGTCTCTGCAAATCTTAAAACTTCCAAGGTACACAAATGGCACTCCCTATGTCCCTCCACGGGTACAGGAAGGAAGTAAGTAGCTCAAAGTATAAAAACAATTGCCTGGCTCCGCACTGCCCCAATTTTCTGAGGAAACCCGGGCAGTTTGCCAGCTTTCTGGAAACTTTGCACTGCATGGGGCAGGCTGCAGCAGTTGCCTAGAGTTCTCTAGAAAGAAATAGGTAGGTCTGATTCCATGAGACATATGGGTTGTCGGATCACAGGGAGCCTTCCGGCAAGTTAGCCAATCCTCAGAGAAGCTGTGTCGTGGGAGATCTCCTGAGGTAGATTCTCACGGAATGTCAGAGCTGAAGGAGACTTGAGAGGCTATTCAGCATGATAGCCCTCGAACTTTGCAAGTCAGGAAATCGGGTTTGGAGAGGTGCAAGGGGACACGCCAGAGCCACCCGAGACCAAGTTAGCCCCTGTCCTCTTCCACTCCTTACAAAGAGTGGAAGGGACATTGTCTCTGCATCCATTCCACATAGGAAAAGTCCTTTATTTGGAGAAGGAGTCAGATAGCAATTTCACACATACTGGTTCTCTAACCAGTCTCGGATGATTTGGACTAATTAGGAACAAAGGTTTGAACTGTCCTTTATATTTGGTTGCAAACAAGTTCCTATCCAAATCCATAGTGCCTGTATGTATGATTGAAAGTATAAAAGATTGAGCAGTTCCTGTTCTGAACATTCAACAAGTTTACACAAGCTTAATGAGCACTATTAATTAGAATAGTTCAGCTCTGCACTGAGCACTTGAACAGATTATCAATGAAGCCCTGTCTTTATAGGAAGACAGGTTTAACATAAAAAAGAAGTGTTATCTGTACCCTAATATCAAAAGGCGTATGCAGAAGTAATGTGGCAGATGAACTTACCAACGCTAAGCCGATGCTGTCCAATAGAAATACAAGCCACACATGTAATTTAAAATTGTCTAGCAAAACTACGTTTTTTAAAAAAATAAAAAGTAAAATTAATTTTTTTAACCCAGTATATCCAAAATACCATTTCAAAATGCAGTGTTTTCAAAGTATTACACTGCATCCGTTTTTACATTTTAAATTAATTGAAATAAAATTAATTGAATAAAATTCAGTTCTTCAGTCACACTAACCACATTTTAAGTGCTCAGTAGCCACATGTGGCCAGTGGATACTATGTGTACAGAGGAGCTTTAAGCCTCTGAGAAATAAGGGCCAAGGTCGACCTAGGGGAGGAGGGCATAAAATTTGAACAGGTAAAAAGAAGAGGACAGGCTTGCCTTGACATTTTCAGAGTCAATGCAAGAGTACCAATGGAGGTCCACAAACTATACATCGAACCACGTCACAAGTTCTAAATGAACTTCAGTTATGTTTCATTTAGCTGTTATGTTTCAGCTTCTCATGGACAAATATATCTCCATGATGACCTGAGAGGTGAGGTGCAAATTTAGAACTCTGGGTCTCCTCATAGCTCCACCACAGAACGTGGCAATGCCTGGAGGTACAGAAGGAACGGCCCCCCATCTTCTCCTTCGACTCCTGGCTCTGTCCCACTACTGCACCCACATGCATGGTCTCCACAGCCCACATATCCAAGCGCTGCCCACACTCCTGACTAACAGTCTTCCCTGAGATCTAGACGTGTGCACACCTAGGAGCAGTCTGACCTCAGGAGGACAAACCCAGGGAAGAGGACTTTGACAGTCTGGAAGCAGACTCGGGATCATCTTTACAAGGAATTCTGGGATCCCAAGGACCTCAAGCAAGATACGGAAGTGGGGGTGGCATGCTTTCTTGACCCCCCAGACTCTATATTGTGAGGAGGGGGACAGCCGGAGTAGAGCCATCTAAAGGCCCAGAACAGGGACCCCTCTTGCCTGGGTCTGAAGGCAGTACTGGAAAAGGAGGTACCAAGAGTAGAGGGGGATGTTGTGCTCATTTCCTTATTATTCAGAGTCCCCAAGAAAGATGAACTGATACCCAGCCTTAACTGCAGCACCAATATCTAGCCTACCCCCCTGAGCTTGGCATTACTGCGTGTCTGTCTGCGTGTGGCTGTCTTACTGACAAAGCTGATCACACGTTCAATGCAGACAGATTCCCTCCTACCACATTATACAATGTATAACCATGGAATGGTTGAAAGCTTTTCTCGATCTCAAGGCTTGTCCGTAGAAAGGAGCTATGAGAATTCAATTCAGACGTACAGAGTTGAGGCTTACAATGCTTTTCCTCTAGAAATTCAGGAGTTTTAATCTTACCCTGAAATGGAATATAATTGCTCTGAATTCTTTCCTACCAATCCTGAAAAGTTCTAGTTTTTGGTAATCATGGATTAATTTGCTTACATTAATTATTTTTTTAACTAATTACTACCTTTTTCTTACTTAAATCTTAGTCACGAGATTTCTTCTCACTGAAGATAAAACTAGATACTCTTAGGAATGTTGCTCCTTACACGTGTATTTTCTGAAAAGTGAATGTACGTTTATTCAGTGTTTATGCTTGACTGCGTGCAAGGACTGTTTTAAACATTGTTTGTTTGTTTTTTTAAGATTTTATTTATTTATTTGAGACAGAGAGAATGAGAGAGACAGAGAGCACATGAGAGGGGGGAGGGTCAGAGGGAGAAGCAGGCTCCCTGCTGAGCAGGGAGCCCGATGCGGGACTCGATCCCGGGACTCCAGGATCATGACCTGAGCCGAAGGCAGTCGCTTAACCAACTGAGCCACCCAGGCGCCCAAGGACTGTTTTAAAAGATCCAAAGTTTAACTCCTCTAAATCAAAAGATCTGGATTTGTCATGCATGTTGCCCCTTCCTTAAAATATAGTAACAACTCACACAGGTTGCCTTCCAAACTGATGAAAACAAGTTAGCTGTGGCCTTTAGAATTCTCCACTGCTTCTACTCTAAACTTTGGCATTCACTTGTACATAGTGTCTACTTGAAACAAGCAAAACTTTCTAGTAACCACTCACCTCTTAGAGAATGTTATTTCTGTTCTTCAGTAGAAGGAAAGCCTTCTTTATTACCACCTGACAAATGACACACTGCTCAGCGTGTTAATTTCTGTGCTTGTCTGTTTCATGAACTTAATTCACGTTTGATCCAACCAAGTCAGTATGCGCCCCCCCAAATATGCACCTGTGTCAGTGATTACTCTTTGCACCTAACCCTAAATTGAGTCTCTCTTCTGAGCAAAGATTGCTTCTTCTCCACGATACCTCATAAGATGCTGCGGATGTGCTCTGCGTCATAGGGGATGAGTGTTAGTAGGTGCCAATGAGGATTGTGCTAAATCTGCCACAGATACTTAAGTGTGAGAAGATTTCTCACTTTCGCTTTGTTAGAAGGCAATTCTTTGGGTCTGTTTTTGTACTCAGGCTAAAAAAAAAAAAAATCCACATGAATTAAAAGGAAAAATCCCTCTGGATTCCTTAACTAGTGTTAGGACATTTTATTTATCATCTTCTGTGGCTCAAAAGAGAAGGCCAAAGGAGTTATCCTGAGAAATGGACAATCATTTCCTTTTTTTTTTTAAGATTTTATTTATTTATTTGAGAGAGAGAGAATGAGAGAGAGCACATGAGAGGGGGGAGGGTCAGAGGGAGAAGCAGACTCCCCGCCGAGCAGGGAGCCCGATGCGGGACTCGATCCCGGGACTCCAGGATCATGACCTGAGCCGAAGGCAGTCGCTTAACCAACTGAGCCACCCAGGCGCCCAGGGACAGTCATTTCTAAGAGGCTGTCTGGTAACGTGAACCAAACTAACTTCACTAACAGTGTCCCCCATATGAGCAGCAGACCTCAGAACCTGGTTGGTTCTTTTCTTTTCCTGTGTGTGTGTGTTTGCTGTTTGTGGGCACTCCGCATGACTATGGGTGTGTTGGCAATTACCAAGGGTGAAACAGGAACAGCACACTGCCTTATCTTGCTGGTTTCCCAGTGTCACTAAATGCACTTTATTTTGAGATTCCTGGTGGTGCTTGGCAAAGATAAACAAAATCTTCCATCAGGAAACCTGTGAGCTATTTCCACAGGAAGTTTCAAATCACTAAAGTAAATAGAAACTCTACATGATCTCAGTGGTGTTACTTGGGCTCGCTTGGGTTCTAACCACCAGGACGGGACCTCATAATAAATGGAAAGCCTATGTATGGCCTTGGAAGAAATGATTTGACTGCAGTCCATACACAATACTTTGGGTATCTGTGTAAAAGTTGATGGTTGATGTTTTATTCCGCCGCAGGCTTGGAAAATGTCCCAAATATAAAAAGATGCTGAATTAGAGGGGCTATTTCTGACACCTTATTGTTGTGTTAAAAATGACTGTCAGCTGCTTCTGCATCTTCTGGCACATTCTTAGATATTCATTTTAAAAGCAGGAAAAACCTCTGCTGGTCTCCTCTCTCTCCAACCACTGACAGCTTCATAAGCACTGCTACCCCTGCCCCCAGGTTTCAAATGAATACTTTGGCATTTCTTCAGACGTGACACTTTATGATAAAGCCAAAGCCCAGAAAAATCAGAAAAACAAGCAAAGTCAGATTTAGGAAAGAGTTGATATGATATCTAATTTTGGACTATTGTCCCCTTAAGGTTTAAAGGTTTCTTTATAGCTTTGTGTGCAACGGATAATAATAATAATAGCAGAACATAGTGCTTTTCATCTTCAAAGTACTTTGTAAAATGTTGGCCCAAATTCTTTGCTCAATACAGATACGCCACTAAGTAGCAAGCAATGGGAGGGTTTGGGAGCGGGTCAATTCGGGGCCAGTAACCAATGATTTTTTTTTTTTTTTTTTTTTAATCCTCTGGGGAAATGGTCCAAAATGAGACTAGGGAACTCGGAGCGCAAAAGCTAAGTGACAGTCCAGGGTAAGAAAGCTGAGGAGGAGAGCTCACAAGGTGTTGCTGGAGATGGAAATGAAGGTTAGCTGGGGATCGACAGGAGAGAAATGGCTTTGAATGGCATATTCACCTTCTGAAAACCTTTACTATGTTATTGAGAGGAAATACGATTTTTTAAAAATTATTTCCCCCCGCCTTGCCCCCACTTCTGAAATGAAGCAACTCTCCCAGATTAGTTGGCTGCACTTTGTTCTTTTATGTCGGAATAGAACGATCACCGTGAAAGGGGACCTGAGCAAGGAACGCGGCTCTTCTGTGCCCACAGTGCCCGCCGAGAGCAGGCGAGGCGGTGGTGCAGCAGCTGGAGCGGGATACTGTCGGTCCGCTTGTTGGAAACTGGGGAAATCAGTTGGGTTTTTTTATTGGAAAAGTTTAGGATTAAAGTGGTACTGACTGGCAGGACTGATGTCTCCTACCGTGTACCTGGGACTTCCTCTTCTCACCTGGTCACAACTTTTTCTGGATAAGTCTGACCATAACACCACCCTTGGTTTTTTGTACAGGTCGCTCTTTTAGGACTTCCCTATTTCGCCCACTCACCCACCGGTAGAAGTTCTAGATGTATTACAGAAATGGGGAATGTGGCTATCACCACAAGGTGTACAACAAATTCCACTTTGAAAAGCAACGTGGTGCAAACAGGGAAAATGTCCCCATCCCAATAACCAGCCTGTTTGGCACCTGCTGCCTCGCTTCTTACGGAACGAACTTAGTTGGTTCCTATGTGGGTTTGATCAGTTCCCCTAACACGAAAAGATAAATACTCACCCTTTTAATGCTGATGCTGAGAGAATTTGTGTCAGAACGGTTCTTAAGATCTGTAACGATCTCCAGAGGAGACACTGATTTTTCCATGAACTGAAGTTCTTTATTCTTATTTTATAGACGTGCCAAATGGATTTCATGTTAACTTGGAAAAAATGCCTACGGAAGGAGAGGACCTGAAACTGTCTTGCACAGTTAACAAGTTCTTATACAGAGACATTACTTGGATTTTGCTGCGGACAGTTAAAAACCGAACAATGCACCACAGCATCAGCAAGCAAAAAATGGCCATCACTAAAGAGTACTCCGTCACTCTCAATGTCACCATCAAGAACGTTTCCCTGGAAGATTCAGGCACGTATGCCTGCAGAGCCAGGAACATATACACAGGGGAAGAAATCCTTCAGAAGAAAGAAGTTACAATTAGAGGTGAGCACTGCAACAAAAAGGCTGTTTTCTCTCGGATCTCCAAATTTAAAAGCACAAGGAATGATTGTACCACACAAAATAATGTAAAACATTAAAGGACTCATTAAAAAGTAACAGTTGTCTCATATCATCTTGATTTATTGTCACTGTTGCTAACTTTCTGGCTCAGAGGAGATGCTCCTCCCAAAATGAGTTTGGAGATGATAGGAGTGATAATGAGCTCCCAAGGTCCCAGCTCTGGGCTCCCCACTCAGGCTGAGGGCTCTGCTCTCTGGGGCCAACTTGGTGCGCGTTTGGATTTGGAGGATCCCTGCAGTGCATTCTCTGTTTTTGCTCTTTGCTGTCTTCTCCTGCCTGATAAACAACAACTTGGGACTGATCCTTTCCTCCCACTTTGATGCCAACCTCTTTGTATTTTTAAGTTTCGAAGCTACGCAAACTGAATAATTTAAACAAATGATGGTTTCTGCCAAAGATGGACATGAATAAGTTAATTTTCCAGCTCAGAACGAGTTACAGTTGAATTTGAGACTCTTATCGGACCTCTGCTTGGTTTTATTTTGTACTATTTCATCCGCTCTCGATTTGTAAATAGCACCTGGATAGCAAGTTATAATGCTTATTTATTTGAAAATGCTTTTCTTTTTTTTTTTTTTTACATTAAGCACATTAATCTTAAACTGGAGCTTCTAAAATGGGCCCCAGGAGTGCAAGATGTCGGTGTAATCCAGAGGTATTAAAGCTTTATCACAGTATGAATTCAAAATGCCCACCCAGGTCAAGGCCATGTCCTGCCCCTGTGCACTCTGGGTAGCCAGCCGATTAGCAGTGCAGGCTTCCCCCTCACTGCCCCTGAGTGGACTATACAGCCACTGACCACATCTGAAAATATGTGCATCATGCCTTCGCCTTACTTAGATTTGTCCCCTGGTTATTCTTTTAAAGAACTCTCTCCTATCTAATTGATGGCATTCAAAGACATACCACAATCAGTTTATCAAGGCTCTTGTGACCGAAGGTTGAATGCATTCTTCTAAATGTAAATCTAAGATTTGCCCATTAAAAGAAGTCCACTTTCCCCATATGCAAGTGTTCATAGGATTTTTATGGGGATTAAGAAATGGCAAAACTACAGAAGCAGAATTCAGAGCCATTTAAAAATATACACCATTTTTCAATCGGGAGAGATGGAAATCTCCTCTCTCCAGCTCGTGTTTGAAGGGAAAGTGACTTTTTCACCAATTTACTATGCATTGTTCTGTTGTTTTCATTTATGATTGATCATTATATGTGCCTTGCGTGAACTATTGGAAAACAAGCCACAGTGACCAAAATAGCCATGGCTGAGAACACAGTGGCTGGGCAAATCAATAGAAGGTGACAATATGACAACTTTTCAGGCTTGGGAACTCACCAGACTGTTTCCTCCTTTAGGTAACAGACTCTGTCCCACGGCTAAACTTGTCTTTCACGTGGGAATTGCTTTTGTCAAGTGTGAAAGAGTAAACAATAGCATTTCCCCAGAATGCCAGTTTTATGGAGTCCCAAATGCTCTGAAAACAATTAGTAACCTGGAAGTTGTCAGCCCAGAGGAAAGAATAATCAATTGTATCTTGAAATTTTACCTATGGCTCTTTTGCCTGGTGTCTTTGTTCATTCTAAGTCAGCATGTTCCTTCAGGAAACAATGCCTTAGTACCACAGATCGTGGGGACTCCCATTTTTACTAAAGCTGAAAAAGCAAATGGGATGGTTGTGGGATTGCTGCTGAAAAAAATGCTGAAGCAGACACTCAGAAGCTATCATTTCTTTCCCCCTTAAAACTGCGACTGCAATTTTTGCAGGGCGGGGAAGGGTGTTAGTATTTACAGGAGAGGATTTTAAGTACTTCCAAGAGATGATTTTAAGAATTCCACAGAGTAATTAATTGTTTGCTGTGTAATTCATCCTTCCAGAGAGTTTCAAAGAGAAAAATCAATTGGGTGCGTTCTATTTTGTTTTGGTGCCTCTTTGGGGTGTGGAGGAAGGGGAGGATAATGGGGAAAAAGAGAAAGAAAGAAGGGCCTAAAATGGAGAATGATTGAGTTGGAGTAGAGGACATGAGGCTGGTTCCTCAGTCCCCCAGTCCAAGTGAAGATGAGAAACTATGTATTTATGAGACCTGGCAGATCTTTGTGGCCATAACACTGAAAGCTGAAAGAAGAACCTGGTGGGGAGCTATCTTTGGCTATTGATAACCAGCAGAAATATTCTGTTAATTCTGATTTTCTCCATTTGAAGGGATCACCTCCACTTTGTTAAGTTTTGGAAAGCAGCTACCTATTTCCATCTGATAACTTAGGGTTAATAATAAGGGTTTGATGTGCCTTTCTTACCTAAAATGTCAAAACAGATTATAAAGTATAAAGGGGAATTGATAAAACAATTCCTTGGTTGATCGGTCATTTAGAAACCAGTCAGAAATGAGATTGTTCACATAGGAGAGCATTTTTTTTTTTTCAGAAATGGGTACCAGGAAAAAATATAATACTGTGTGTTTCAGACATGTTTATATGAACTTTGTATTTAATTGAGAGTCCTGTGTTTATTCTGCAGCCTTTTTGCTGCTTCTCTTGTCTGAAGTTTGTCTAGGGCAGATAGGGCCTTTGGGAGTTCTCATGACATTTCTGTTAAGATAAACTGTTCTCTTACATATAAGTGTTTTCCAGTACACCTGTCAGGGAGGTCAAATGTTGTCTATGTTGATGATGCTATAGTCTGTAGCTATGAAAATACTGTGGGTGTTGCAAGCCCTATATTCAGGCTTCCTTTTTATAATAAGGCCTATGGGCAATGATAGATAATTTTATCATACTTAGCACATGGGAAATAGTCAATGTGGTAGGGGAAGCTATTAAAATATAACTCCATGAACTGTGTCTGAGTTTTAAATGAGATATGTCAAATTTGACTTGCCATTGTAATAGACACTAAATAGTAATATGACACTGTTCTTCATTATCTTGTCGTGTTTCACTGATACGTTTGGAATCTTTACTGTGTAAAAATGTCAAAATTGTAACAATCAAGCTTGTAAAAAGTTATCAGAACTGAAGATTTTGATACCTGGCTGCATCTGCAATTAGGAAAGACCATTTGACAGACTGCACAGAATGCAAACACAGAAATGTTGAAATGGTTCTGCCTGGGGGTGCAGAACAGACTAGAAGGATACATTGATGGAAAGCAAAAGGGCCATTGTGATCACTCATTCCAAGCTACGTTTGAAGAGTTTCTAAATCAGGGCTCTCCTTTCAACGCTCTTTTTAGCCTTCAAGATTTCATTTTGTATAAAATGAGGAAAGAACTAGTGATGCGCTTTGGAAATCAAAATTTAATGAGAAAGCCGTTCCTCTGAACAGAGGGTCACCCTGCCATGTTCTGCCCTGTCAGCATGCTGTAAAAGTTATGTGATACTATACTTTTTAACCTGAGATTTCAAAATTGCTTGAATGAATGCTAATCCTCAGAGTTTCCCTGCAGGAATAAAAAGAGAAAGGTTTGGGGGCGTCGGCAGCATCCTGCAGGGACATCCGTGTCAAAGGCACTGCAGTGTGTCACCCCTTAGCCCTGTAATCACTCCTAAGCTGCTTTCACAGTGTTAGTACAATAAGGTGAGGAAATCCAAACGGTCAGTGTCTATAACTGAAACCAACGGCGCAGAATGTGTAAGTTACGCCAAACCTCTTCTGATTTCTGTTCCAGGACGTGCAACAAGAGGGGGTGAAGACGATGACTCGGGAGGGTGGGAAGGACGTTAGGAGGTATCTTTATTCTTTTACCTTGGAAGCTCCAGCTACCAATCCAGCACTCACCTAACTAGAATGTATACACATCAGCAGGACTGACTACTTCGTTAAACAGAGACACTGTACTCGCTGGGGTCTTGGGGGTACTGCTGTTCCAATGTGGGATTTTAATGTTGTAATGTATTGCATCTTAATGTATGAAACTCATTTTGTTGTACTATATTGGTTGGCATTTTATTAAAATAAATTGTATTGTATCATATTTGTATGTTTTTAAGAGAAAATAATATAAAATACAATATTTGTACTATTATATAGTGCAAAAACTACAAATCGAAGCCTCTGCCTCTTGAATTAATCCTTTGGTTGCTTGCACTGGGGAGGGGATGGAGGGACGGAAAGAATCAATAAAGCTTGCAAAGTTCAAGAAATTCTCCTGTTTGGTCTGCTGCCTCACACTTTAGGTTACTGACGGCTGAGTAACACAGACAGGCCCTCACAAACACATTGATAAAAATATGTGCAAAATTACATTAGCTCATCGCTGTAATAGGATATCTTTAGGTAAAAATTCATTATAAGGCTCTATCCCAAATGTGGGTTTCCTTTTCGGTTCCTTGAATAGGATGCGAAATCCTTAGGTTTCCGAAAAGCTGCTCTCACAGAAAGGAAGAAAACTAGTTGGCCAGGCAAAACCTGTGATACTGAATCCTGTAGAATTTTGGTCTCAATTTTACTCTGTGTTCTAACAAATTTCAGTATGTTAGAACTTCCTAAAGATGAAGCAGGTTACCCAGAGAAGAAAAATTGAGGGAACAAAATATGAATGGAACCTTACGGTGGAGTTTTGCTGTTTATATACGTCAAGTGTTGATGTGCATATATGACAAAGGAATACAAGTGACCGGTAATAACAATCCCCTTTCTTTATTCACTAGATCAGGAAGCACCACACCTCCTGCGAAACCTCAGCGACCACACAGTGGCCATCAGCAGCTCCACCACGTTGGACTGTCACGCTACTGGCGTCCCAGAGCCTCAGATAACCTGGTTTAAAAACAACCACAGAATCCAACAAGAACCCGGTAAGAGATTTTGTTTTCCTTGAATTCGCTTTCTCATCATTCTCTTCTTCCCTCAACATTCCTCTCACCTCCCTCCCGTACTTCTAGAACCTCTTGCCAGTACAGTTTTGGTTCCTGCCGATAGCAACTTTAAGTGAGGAGTTTGAGCCCGTCCTTATGCACCCCATGTGCCGAACCATGTAGAAAGATCCATACAGACTCTGCTTTAAGTGGTGCATTCATAAAGAAATGGGAAGAGCCCCTTAGACATCGTGTCTGTTCAACTTGACAACAGGGCAAGTGAGGAGTTCGTGCCTTGGTTTGAGGTACAGCAAAGCTTTGAACATCTGGTCTAGAGAGGAAGTTCAGGGAAGTTGTATAATCTTTTAAATTGATAGTAAGTGCATTAAAATGATTTGGTAAAAAGAATATTTTAAATTGATAGAATACTGGTAAAAAAAAAAACTTGAAACTAATGGTCATGTGTTAATTTTCTTTCAAGAAAAAATATATTTAAGAACAACTAGACTTAAATCAGTACATATCAACGTTGTCTGTGGCTTGCCTCATAATTTTGTCATTAAATAAGATTAAAATAAACTTATTTATGATTTTGCTTAATAATTCCATTTACATGAAAAATAAAATTGGACCATTTATCTGCAACATCCCAACAACCTAAATCAAATGACTAGCACTATGGAATGGTCCTTGAATGTGAGTCCTCTATGCAAAACAAAATCTCCATTTGAGTGTGATGCACAGAAGGGGGTGGTGGTAGAAAATCTCCAATTTTAAGATGTCTTAGAAATGCCTTACACTAAGCTGGTCCCAAACTAACCACCTCACATCATTTTTCTCCATCAAGCAGCGCCTCCTCTCATACTGACGTCATTCACTTCATCATCCAAACCAGAAGCTGATGACCTCCCCTTCGTCCTTCTTTAATCTGTCACCAGGCTGAGCAGGTTATGTCTACTAAATACGAAATACTTCTCAAGTCCATTCTTCCCTCCACTCTCCCGTTGTCATTCTCTGGGTTCAGGAGCTCATTATCTGTCTCCTGATCTCTGCACCTCTTTTTTTTTTTTCTCTCTTGGAATCTTATTTTCCACACAGCTGGATAAGATGCACATCACTTCCCTGTTTCAAGTTTTTCACTCGCTCTCTATCCCAGGACCAAGTTCAAGCGTCTGACAGAGAAGGCCCTCAACAACTGGCCCTCCCTACTTCTCCAACTCCATGCTTACCGCCCCCCTACTTTGCCTTGAACCTTATATTCTAGCAGGTGCCAAACTCTTGTAGATCGCTGCACACATTATGCTGGTTCAACACCTCTGCTTCTTTTGTGCTTGTGTCCCCCCTCTGCCTGGAGTATCTTCCCTTCATCTAACGCCTTCCTGTCCTTTTAGACCCAGATTGGGTGTTCTTCCTCCAGGAAGCCTTATTCAACCCCTGCAATGAGGGGGCAGATCCTCCAGGGGTTTTTATTATTTATAAGTGTTTCTATTCTCTCTTACTGAGTTATTTTATAATCATCAGTTCATCTGTGTATTATCCATGCATATTTCCACTGCTCTCTTTCTGTACCATATCATCAGTTCATGTGTATGCTCTCTTCCTACATGTTTATCATCATATCATGCCTCATCTTGAGGGCAGACAGTATATCTTTTTATCCTGAGAACCTGGCATAGTGCTTGGCAATCAATAAATGTTCTATGAATGAATGAATGAGAGTTTTTCAGAAAATCTTATTCTATCCTTAGCAGGTTCACCTGGTAGCATGAATGCCTGGACTTAGGAGTGATTGGGAAAGCTGTATCATAGAACTTTTAAAGCTAAAGAGATCTTTGGGATATCTTTAGTCCCATTTGTAGGACAGAAAATTTAGGCCCAATGAGGTAAAGTGATTTGCCCAAGATGACACACTATTAAGATAGGTAGTTTCATAGAAAATGAATTCTTGAGGTATTCTACCAAAACAAAAAGATGAATACATGAATAAATAAATAAATAAAGCAGTGTCTGTAACAATACCTGTAACATCCTCCCTTTAGAGATTCAGAGTTCACATTAGTATATTAAAGACGCCAAGAAGCCTTATAGTAAAGAAATCAGGTAAATTGCTTTAAAGTATTCCCACAAATAACTTGATCACAAAATACATTTTACGAAATATTAGTGTAAGATATTGGGTTCTTTGAGAGAAGTAAATTTGGCTTGTGTTCAATTTTCATACTTTGGATGTGGGTTAAAGAATTAGAGTTGAACCAATTTCGAAAGCTTGTGGCCATTCTGGGACTAGAGGGTAGACAAGGCAAGAGGGTATGTTAAGGCAGTTACCACAAATGGAAAAAGATTATGAGGTGCGAGGGGAGGATTGAGTCCTACCATCGCCCTCATGGGTCAGGGAATTTGGGCAACTCACTTATCCTTCCTCTCTGAGCCTCTGTTTCCTTGTTTATACAACTGGGAGAATACGGACAACACAAAGATGAGGTAAGGTTTAAATGAGTTAATATCACTAAGCGTGCCTCTCTTTATGGCTGAGTAAATGCTGCCTTCTGACCCACCTCATTTACATAGAAATTGGCCAATGAGTTTTCAGGATTTGTCGGAAGGTGTCAGAGGAGTTAATTAATAATTCAGCTCAAATGTCTAACACTTCTATATCCAATAAAGATATCTTCCTCCTAGCTTTCTTTGCTTTTCAGAGGGCCAAGAGAAGAATATCTAAAATAAGTCTTATATAAATTCTTACATAAAATCTTTTATAAATATCATTCTACTATGCTACTGTTGGCATTTATGGAGTTCAACTGTATTAAGTCGTCCATTTTCTCTCCCTTTATTCACACCTTAAAATGGCTATAGCCTTTTGGAAAAGAATTTCTTAGTTTTCTGGAGATAATCTCTTACATGCATATAGTATTTATAAAGTTTCATATGTAAGATTTCCAATTTAAGACAGCAAATTCAGCAGTCAATGCAATAAGCTATATGACTATGACCCTGTGTGTGTGCACATAGACATCTTCAAAAATACCAATTCTTTTATGGTTCTTTTTTTTACAAACCTATGGGTGAAGATTACAGGTAACCAAAGTGACAATCCTTAACTCACTGGTTATTCCAAAGCTGAGCTGGGAAAACATCAAGATCACAGCCTGGAAAAGACTGAAAACTAGTCCATTTTAAACTAAGCCTTTGGAAAGCCATACTGAGAATAAATTTTAAATAAAGTTTAAATAATTAACAATTAAATATATATTTAATGAGATAGCTTTACAAATACCCAAATACAGAATTAAACATATTTAGTGAAGTATATTGTTATAAATATATATCGTTTATGAATATAAAATATAGAACTAAATATAAATGATGGTTTACAATTAATAAAGCTAATTTTTTAAAGTTTAAAAATCCGGAGAATAAACCACACGTCCTTTAAAGACCTGTGACGCCTGGCAACTCAAAAAAACATTGATATACTGAGAGGATTTTAGTGGCCTTGGGTCTTGGCTAGGATCTGGCCCATCATCATTGCCATTTGTTAAATGATAACTTACCCTATTCGAAAAAAAAATAGGAGAGAGGAAACAGGGCACATGTGAGAGCTCATGCTCGGGACAAGTGGCCATAAAATGCCTGCTGAAAGAGCTTATGGGAGAGCTTTTCTCCTCCTTCCTCCTTTCCTTTCAGGAAGCCCTTCAGTGGGACACAGCCATTCTAGAGAAGAAATGCAGTTTTAAGAAAGCATTATGAAAGCTGAGTAGTGCTTTCTTGGGCCAAAGGGCATCCGCAGGAATAAAAGGGAGGCTACACACGCAGGCCCAGGACAGCATGTACGCAGGGGACACGAGGCAGTCTCCAGCAGGGCACTCCCTGTAAGCCACACAGCCCCCGCCCCGCCCCCCCCCCCCCCCTGCACTGAGCGGCCCTCCCCGCCCTCCCACTGCACACCTGCAGGCTTTGGGGGTCTCCGTGGCACCGCCCTGCCTCGTGGATTGCCATTTCCTCCCGCCATCCCCGAACAGGACAGTCTTTACTTCCCGGCCAGGGGACCACAGAGGCTGCCTCCACTAAGGATCCTTCTTTCACATTCCAGTACATCACGACTCTTCCCTTCCTTTGATATCTGGTTTATTTGCAATTCATGTCACAGAATGTCACTTATTCCCTTGTTTCATGTGGGCTTGTTTTGAAAACCTTCGAAGATAGATCTAATATCTTAATAGGTCTTCTTTATGAAAAATAATAAAAGTGTATTGAGCACTCACCAGGAAACAAGGCACTGTGTGAGATTTACAAATATTTCATTTACTTTTCGCAACTGTCATCAGAGGTAGGTACTGGTGTTAGATGCCATTTCACGGATCTAGTTTAATTTAACAAGCACTGAACTAGGTGCCTGGTCCCGTTCCAAGCATGTCACTTATTCATCATCATCATCCTATGAGGTTTGCTAAATTATGATGCCTGTTTTACAAAGGAAACATGAGGAGGCGTAGACACAGGAGAAATAGCAGACTAGGTCATAGAGCCTGTGCCTAGCTGCCCGAGGCTGGGACCAGAGGGTGAGTCTGGAGCCGACACTCTGCACACTGAGCATGGAGGCTGACCGCTGGTGTACATCGCTCTCAGGAACATATAAGCACCACTTTTTTTTTTTAAGTAGGCTCTGTGCCCAGCATCGAGCCCAACGTGGAGCGCAACATGGGGCTTGAACTCAGGACCCTGAAATCAAGACCTGAGCTGAGATCAAGAGTCCGTGGCTTAACCCACTGAGACACCCAGGCCCCCCATAAGCACCCCTTTTAAATGACCTCATGGGCGTAAACAAGCATATTTTTAAAACAATGGATATTTTCTCATTTCTAACTCTTAAAGCTTAAGATTCCCAAAGACATAGTTTATTTTTTAAATGTTAAAAATTTACAGCATATTAAAAATATTTAAAGCATTTTTTTTTAACGAAGGCATGCCATGGAGTGCCTGGCTGGGTGGGTAGAGCA